CTGCGCGGGTGTTTAACGGGGTAGCGCTGACCGTCTGACCCCGGGAAACCGAACTGCGGGGGGAGGGGAAAGGACGGCGAGCGTTTGAAGAGCCTTACTGCACTGGAAATGAAAACAACAGTGAGACTGCAAAGCAACTACAGCAGGAGCCCCGCTGGCGTTTGCCCCGCTGGACCGGGAGCATCCCGGTGTCAGCTGCAGCCCCGCCTGCCTGAATTGGGGATTGTGACTGCCTGTGGCACGGAGAAGCTTTCCCTGCTCCACTTGATGGGCTGTGCTTCTGTCCCACGTGCCAGAAAAGAAGAAAGTTGAGCCACACAACAGAAAATAGGTATGGAGGGGCCGAGAGCTTTCTACTGTGACAGCCTAAATTCCACCCACAGGACGCTGCCTGTGAGCTAACGTTGGTACCTCCCCTCTACAGACTGGTAGCCTCGAGGACATAAGTCAGATTTAAGCTGTCAGAATGTGGCCAGGAGTATTCTTCCCCACCTGGAGAACCAACCTACACATGGTTCTTTTTTTTTCCTTTAGGTGTCTTTTTAACTGTCCTCTTTTGCAGGTATCCCTCTTGCTCCTGTCTATCTATGCCTCTGCCAAGAAAGCAGCCTGCTGCAGGGTTGGTTGTGTCTCTGGGGTCTTACAGGCAACATCCAAGGCTATGCTGGCTGCACACCCACCTACTCCAGGTCCTTGGGACAGCCTCAGTCTCATCTGCCCTGCACATGGTAAAAATCAGGCACGTAGGGGTCTGTGGCCAATTGCTCCCTTCACCCGTATTATTCAGAATGAAGAGTTGTATTTAAACCTCACACCTACACCCACACGAATAAAACTGGAGTTTTGTTACTACATCTGTGTTTCTAAATAGGTTGGGGACAGGGAGCAAGGTTTTAATGCTGGTCTACTGATTCCCCATAATACTGAACTGCCAGCAAGCTTTTTGGTGTACTCCTGGCCAAGGCCAACTAGCACCTCCACAAAAATACTTAGGCACCAAGGACTGCTTTCAATAAGAAGTTAGATCTGGGTCTCTTCCTCCTGTGCAGTCTTCCAAAATAAAAAAGACAGAAAAATTACAACAAAGTATTACAGCCACTGTGCAATACACACACCCTCGAGGAGACCCACAGCACAGGCCCCATGCAGGACAGATGTGAGCAGTCTCACCACTTGGTCTCAGCTCCAGAAAGTAGTCTCCAGTCCAGTTCTGGACCTAAATGTCTTACACCCAGGGCTGGTGAGGAAGAATCAGATGCATTTTTACTCCCTGTGCCCTCATGTGAGTTCAAGGGCTCCCGTAACCCTGATATAGCAGATGAAAAGTCTGGATGCAAGATCCCTTACACCCAGGGCTGGTGAAGAAGAATCAGATGCATTTTTACTCTCTGTGCCCTCATGTGAGTCAAGGCTCCCATAACCCTGATAGAGCAGATGAAAAGTCTGGATGCAAGATCACACTGGCTGTCATAACTCAAAAATGAACAAGCAGTTTCTTCAGGGAGTGCTTGCTTCTACCTAGACAGACTGCATTTCCTGAATGCCAAAGGAAGGTCAGAGAGAGAGGCCAATGTGGGAAGAGTGAGCCATTTGTCCTCTCTCCCCCAGAGCCAGTGAGGCCTCTGCAAGCAGCCGTGCCCATTTCTGACCAGTCAATATGTCAATTCTGCTTCTCAAAATCACAAGCCTCCTTTGGGTTCATCCATGCACCTCCCAGGCATGTAACTGTGGGCATTTCTCCATTAGTATTGGCAGCTGGAGCACTCCACAGCAACACACAGGGGGCAGCCAGCACATTCCTCTTCCCACCAGCCCCCTGCGGCAGTGTCACATCGGACATCACTGCAGTGGAAAGGTTAAAAGAAACTTTGTTGAAAAGAGATGAGAAAGGATTGACTTTGTGTTTAGACAGTGCCCAGGGCTGCAGCAGGACAGGTTTTAGGGGGTGGACTGCAGAAAGAGTGGTTGAAGCTGCACCTCTGCTTCCTGTTGTTGGCAGAACAGCGTGGAGGCTATTGGCTCGGTGGTGGCATTTGACCTATCTTTTCCTTGCCTGGTTGGGAAACCACCCCCAGGTTTGGAGTATCTGTACATGGAATATGAAGAGGATGATGATATTTCCTTTGCAAAATGGATGAGCAGCTTCTGGGGCCACAACTTGATCGATGAGAATGAGAAAGAGGGTAGAGGCTACAGGAAACGTCCGACAGGAGCCTGCAGTGAAAGGAGAGCCTCCCTTCCGGTAAGAGCTGTGTGCGGTGAAACCTCTCTGTGTGCATGGTTTGTGTCTCAAGAGAAACACCATCCCCACGGCGTGGCCCTAGGGCTGTGTGAGGATGAGTATGGTGCACCTTGCCTAGTGAGTTCAGTTCCTACTGGCAGCAGCTGGTTGGTTTTTGAACTGAACTGCCCGCCAGGGTCAGGCCTCCTGTGCCTTTGGGGTACAAAAAAACCTGGCAAACTGCAAGAGGAGCAACAGCAGGACCAGAAAGGTAAGGAGGAGGTTGTCCTAACTGCCTGTGTATCACAACATTGCTCTGTCTGCTCCACATGAGCTGGCAGAGATCAAAACGTTTTGGCCACTGGCACACGTAAATGTTGTCTTTAATGAGTCTGTGCTCATGTGTTAAACTATACAACCTGATATGTATTCCTAGGGCTTGGACCTAATTCTGCAGCTCTGCTGTCCCCAGGAAGCTGTGCTTTTTATCACCTAGGATTTAGCTGTTTGCAGGTGTAACTCCTCATTTAAGACAGAGGATGCAGTCCCTCCTGGTTTAAAACATCTCGCTCTGAAAACAACAGAGCAACACAGAACAAAGCTTATTATACTGTGAAGTCAGATTTTAAGGTAGAAGTTCCTTCCTCTTAAACCAATGAAATAGTTGAGAAAGGGGCAGGGTTCACGTGCAGAATCAGGCATTCGAGAAAGCTCATAATTGGCTAAGAAATTATCAAAATGAAGTTAGATGGAAAGCAGCTATTCACAACCTGTTCTTTCCTTGAAGACTGTTGCTTTTATTTCAGCTCTAAACCTGTCTCTTTTTTCCCCAAGCCACATCAGCTGGCTTACCAAAGATACTATGTTTCCTTACTAATTATTTTTGACATTTGTTATATATGGTTACATTTCACCTTCATTGCAGACTGCAAAACAAACTCTGAGCTAGAGCTTTGCTGATGGATTCCATCAGAATGCCTGAAAACAATGTTGGTTTGGTTTTTTTTTTTTTAATTAACATTACTGTGTTTTAATTTTTCCCTTCAGAGATCTACACATATGGGACTTCTTCAGGCCCCAGTACAGACTGAAGTATAGAATGTACTTTAAATCACTTTCCATTCAGCAAGCTGCTGAACACCTTCATGTCTATTTGTGTGTGTACACATATAGTTCATCTGAAACATGTTCTTCTATTCAGTTTGTTCAAAAACTCTTTAAATACTTGGCTAATAGCTATTAAAAACTTTACTAGAGTTGCATCCATACCTAGAACTTGGATGGAGTTAGCTGACAGAAAGGGAAGACTATGACTATGGACATTACTGTTCAACAAGCTAAAGTTCTCCTGTACTCTTAATTATGGCTTTCCATTACTAATTATGGCTATACTTTACATTAATGCTCCACGTGAATTTGTCTTGCTCCAGTAATTTTATTATTGAACAAGAGAGAGAAATTTCAACTGCTTTATTTTTCAGTGCCATAAATTCCCTGGTGGAATGAGAAGGGAAGATTTGTTTGGGGATTTTATGATTTGGGGATAAATTTTGAGATGAAATTTTTTTTATTTGGAAATCTCTGACTAGTTGGTATTAAGAAAAAAACAAAAAACATTTTGTCTCAAATGAAATCTAGAAGTTAAACAAATGGGCACAAATTCCATAGAAATCCCTTCAGAAAGAGCATCTCCTTGTTAAAAGCAACGACTTGCTATTGAACCTGGATGTGTGGTTTTTACAGTTACTGTAAATTATAACTACTGTAAGAGTTAAGTCACATGTTAGTTGAATATTGTCTTCAATTTATCAACTTTCAGAAAGAGCATCTCCTTGGTAAGAACAACAACTTGCTATTGCACCTGGAGGTGTGTTTTTTTACAGTTGCTGTAAATTATAACACTGTAAGAGTTAATTCACATTTAGTTGAATATTGTCTTCAATTTATCACAGCAGTGCTAGAAACCTGGAGACATAATAACTGAGATGAAGCTGTATCTTTTCTTCTGGAGACATAACTGAGATGAAGCTGTATCTTTTCTGCCAGTTAATACCTCCACAGCAGATCACAGTGGAGGTATTAACAGATAATGTTGCTGTGGGCCAACTCTAATGTGAAAACTGCCTGGGAAGGACTAAATCATCTGTTTTCATGTCCTTTACTTAACTTGCTCCCCTGGCAAACTTTAGACCCATTATCTGTGATAAGCTTTTTGAAGCCTCCAGCTATGACTTTCCTTGGCACGTTCTAGTTCCCTCCATAATTTTGATTCAAAACAGTTTCTTACCTCCCAGAGACTTGGTTGTGGGGAAAAGACAGGAGGCAAAGAAGCAGGGATAAGAGTTTCACAACCCTGTAAATGTATCCACCTTCAAGCAGACATTGCTGCTTACAGGAGCAAATCTTACAACCCTGTAAATATATCCACCTTCAAGTAGACATTGCTGCTTACAGGAGCAAATCTGCTAAGAAACAGCTGAGAGTGGAAGCAAAATAACTGAATACTGTTGAAGCTACCAACATTTGATTTAAACAAGTCAGACTAAACACTGCCACAATATTGTTACTACAGATGGAGCCTAGGCTAAAATATTTTTAAGGAATATATGCTTGGCTATAAGCTTCTCCATAAGGAAAGAAAGTTGTGGGACAGCATCTGAATGTTAGATATTCCAAAATATTCCTGAAGTACCATGGTCACTGTGTAAACTCCAGCAATGACCACTTGTGCTGACACACTGAGGATTCATTTTCTTACTGACAGCTCTGTGGATCCTCACCTCAAGACCAAAAGATGGAAGCAATTATCTTGTCTCCAACAGAAATTGAGAAAAAGAGTGAGCAAATTATACTGCCAAGTATAATTACAAATTACTTTAATTACTTTACTTTGTAAAGTATCTTTGTGTACCTTTGCTGTGTTTAAAATTACTTTACTTTGTAAAGTATTTTTGTGTACTTTTGCTGTGTTTTAGATGGATGATTAGAAAAAGATTAGCTGTTGTGTAAATATATACTGAGCATGCCTGGCCTTTATATAAGGGCAGAAAAAGGGGCTGCTAAATGGAGGGAGAAAGAACCCCTGAGAACATGCTTGGTGCTTCTGGATTTCCCAGCACTGCCAAAAATTAACCATTTTGGTGTAGGGGAGCATTTATCATCCAACCTTCCCATGCCTTTTGCCTTGTTTGACCTCCTCCCCACTTGCCCAGTTTAAGAACTACTCAAGGTCAGCTCCTAGGAGCCAGAGAGCACGGGGAGTTCACTGAAGAGGTCTCAGAGATGGGCACAAGGCAGCTGCTGGGGCAAGGCCAGCAGCAGATGCTGGAGCTGTGCTCAGAGACCTTTGGCAAGGGACGACAGCAGTGCTGGGTGGACACCAGACTGTGCAGACACAGAGGCAACCTCTGTGGCCAGCAGCTGCTGAGATTTCAGGAGGGGAAGCATAAATTAAAGCAGTTTTCAGCCATTCACATTTACAGTGTTAACAAGCAATCAGTTTAGCACCAAACACATCTATTAAAGGCATGTGTTTAATCTAAGAAAGAGGAAGAAAGCCACGTGGCATTTATCTAAAGCTGGTGCCAGATCTCTTTCATCACTGAGCTTCATTTTCTGACCCTTTCATTTCTCCACTGAGTCAATCTTAAATAAAAGAAGAGTAAAGCACTGTGCTAGTTCTAATCCATGAAATGTTCTCACCTGAGCACTCGTGTGAAGGCTGTGGTGCTCTGCAGGGTTGTGTGCATGCTGTCCTTCTGGCTAAGGTGGCAAGGTTCATCCCAAGGCCCTGTGAGAGGAGCCACAGTCCCAGGAACATCATTGCATGGAGCTTTGCCCTTAGTCTACTGAAGCAGATCTTGACTATAATTCTATCTGTGAAGGGAAATTAAAAAGCAATGTCTTAGCAAAATAAAACATTTACAAACATGGCAAAACAGGATTGATTGAATACCATCCCCCACTTCAGCCATCCACCTTTTTATTCCCCTCCCAAACACCCCAAGAACATTTATCAGTGAATTTTAGTGTGAGACAGTTTTTATTTCCAGGAAACAATATATGTTCATGCCATTAAAAGGACACAGAATTTAGCTTGTGGAGCTTGCCAGGGCATGTATACTCCAAAGCACAACGTGATTGCTTGGATGCTTCTAAAAATAACAATACAATATGACCTTACAGAAATTACAGCTGCATTGATGGGTTTGAAACCAAACTAAAAATAGTAGGGCAGAAATCATTACCACCAGCCTCAGAGGCAGTCCATCATGCTAGTTACCAAAGTAAGCTTTTGTCTGGAGAAGAAACTGAACCAGTACCACAGGAGCTGAAATCCCTTCAGTATTAGGTGCTTGTCGGGTGTAGGTTTTAAGATTTTTAGGGTCTCTTACTGAGCCTGTCTGATGTGATGTAGTCACAGGCATATAGATACACAGGCTCACCTATTCAGAGAAAGGCTCCACAGCTCCCTGTTGTGCTGATATGTTTATAGCAGTGTCTGGGTCACACTAAATGGAAATGTGCACAGGAGATGTTTCAGGTCCATCACAGTCCAAGGCTCGGAGATTCTTGTGGCCACTCTACCAACCTAGTTTAGTTTTCCACTATTGTTTCTTTAAAAATACCCAAACCAAACAAATCTCCCTCCAATAAACCCTGCTCTGAGCATAGAGTTTTCAATGAGATTTTCTTAGAAATCAGCTCAGGACCTGTGGGACAGACTTTCACTTTTTAGAAGCAGTCACAGCTCCCCTGAGGCTCGGAGATTCTTGTGGCCACTCTACCAACCTAGTTTAGTTTTCCACTATTGTTTCTTTAAAAATACCCAAACCAAACAAATCTCCCTCCAATAAACCCTGCTCTGAGCATAGAGTTTTCAATGAGATTTTCTTAGAAATCAGCTCAGGACCTGTGGGACAGACTTTCACTTTTTAGAAGCAGTCACAGCTCCCCTGATGCCAGCTTTCCACTACTGTTTCTTTAAAAAACCCCAAACCAAACAAATCTCCCCCCGATAAACCCTGCTCTGAGTGTAGGGTTTTCTCTGGGATTTTCTTAGAAATCAGCTCAGGATCTGTGGGACAGACTTTCAGTTTTTAGAAGCAGTCACAGCTCCCCTGATGCCAGCAGAGCTGCTCAGGTTCAGC